TGAGTCTAGACCCCATGTTCTTAATAAGGCAATGGAGCATTAGGCCTGGAGTATTAGGCTAACCTTGAAATGTTATTTATTACATAAGATCCATCTTGAGCTGGGGATGTAGCTCAGTGGTAGAGCATATGCTTCATGTGTGCAGAGCCCTGATTCCATCCCCAGCAACAACCACCAAAATCCACCTAGCATCATACTCTGTCTCCAATTTTGTGAAGCTCAAATAAATCCTACTTACACGTTGGCACCACAGACGCCAGTATCCCAGAAGCTTCAAAATGATGCACCTTTCTAAAAGTTTTTATGAAGCAAACATAAAATGAAAAGCAATCAACAGAGAGACCACACAGTCTGAATGACGTGTATTTACTGAACTACTGTGCTTACCTGGGGCCACTGAGGAAGAGTGCCTCAGACCCAACGGGAACCTCATTCAAGTTCTCACTTCCAACTATCAACACAATACCACCCTTTGTTTTAGAGTCAGGATCCAGGCACTCTCTGACTCCCTAAAAAACGGCAGCCCAGTGATGTGATGTTAAGAGGTGCTTTTCTTTTCCCTAACAGCCTCTTGTTTTCTCCAAGGACCAACTACACATGAGGAAATGATCAGCAGCACACAGTAGACATGACTGGGGTGGGAGGGCCATGGAAAGCAGGAGCGGGCAATTCAGAAAGAAGGGAAGTAGACAGTCGTCAGTCTCTAGGTTAGGCAATGCATTTTATTTTATAAATGGCATTCTAACTCAGAAAAGGATACCCCTCAGTATTTATTATAAGTATTTTTAATATTATAAATATTTATTATAAGTATTTTTCTAGTTTCCCAAAGCACAGCACATAATCCAAAGATGATTTTGTCATGATTTAGTCATAAAACACACTCCACTGGATGAATGTTAATGGCAAATAGGAAATATACACTCTTTATACACATACTATGGCACTGTCCACTAGTAGTTTAAAAAGACTCTCATTTCTTCTTATCTCTCAATAGCTAACATTTGTGTTTGTTATACAATGTATATATACTATAAAAACCATATAATAAGCAGGGCGCTGTGGCACATGCCTGTAATCCCAGTGGCCTGGAAGGCTGAGGCAGGAGGATCACGAGTTCAAAGCCAGCTTCAGCAACAGCAAGGTGCTAAGCAACTCAGTGAGACCCTGTTTCTAAATAAAATTCAAAATAGGGCTGGGGATGTGGCTCAGTAGCCAACTGCCCCAATCAGGTTCAATCCCTGGTACCAAAAAAGAAAAACACCATATAATGAACACTTATTTTCCCATTACTTACAATGTTTAATTTAAATGATTGCGATCATTTCAAACATTAACAGTGTGTCTTACTGGAAAGATGAAATCCAAAGAATTACTAAGGCTGAAAAATCGTTTATTTTATTCTGCTTACTCATCTATGTGGTGTTTATTACCTGAAGCTCCGAGCTGTGATATGAAGTGGTTCTATCTCACTAGGGTGACACATCTGGCTCTAGGCTATGTCAAAAGAGAGCTCCCAAAACTATTAATGTTACTATTTCGAGACACTGCAGCCTGCTGAATCAAATGGGTGCTGAGGTCCCAAAGCAACCATTCTGAAGGAAAGCACGTGTGGCTTCTAGGATGGTTTCAAAATGCGATCTTCAGGCCTGGTTGACATATTGTTTCGAAGACACCTGATCCAAAACATCTACACTCAGGGACTCAGGAGAGCCGCTACCACCCTGTCACCCTTACTCTAAAAGGCACTGACCTATAAAATAAAAATAGAAAAAGCAAAGCATAAAAACTACTTAATTTTTCTTGCTTAACTTCTTATCATGGTAAAGTTTACAGACAAAAAATTAGAATAGAATAATGAACCCTTAAAAACCCATAACCCAGTTTTAACAACTTGCCAGTTTATGGCCAATTCTATTTCTTTTTTCATCCCTCACCCCAATTATTTTAGGCATTATTACTGGTATTACTATATATAGTCATCCCTTGGGGGATGTCACAGTCATCCCTTGGGGACTTCCCAGGGAGTTCCAGGACTCCTGTAAATATGAAAATTCAGGGATACTCAAGTCCCTTATATAAAATGTATAGTATTTGCATGTGACCTATGTACATCCTCCTTTCTACCTGATTACTTATAATATGTAATACATTTTTAAATGCTATGTAAGTAACTATACTGTACTGTGTAGAGATAAGAGAAAATTTCTATCCATGTGCAGTGCAGTTGCAATTGGTAAAGAAAATGTGATATACATGCATGTGCAGTGCAGTTGCAATTTTTTCCTCCAAAAATTGTTGATCAACAGTAAGCCGAATACACAGATGTGAAACCCACAAATAGGGCTAACTATACTATGTTATATACATTAGTTTATTATATTAGTATGTACCTCTAAAAGATAAGGACTTTATACTCATAAAATGTTGGTGGGACTGCAAAATGGAATAACCTACCCTGGAAAGCAATATGAAGATTCCTCAAACAAACAAACAAACAAACAAAAAATCAGGAAAGGAACCACAAAAGGACCCAGCTATCCCACTCCTTGATAGATATCCAAAAGATCTAAAATCAGCCTACTATAGGGATATAGCCACGTCAATGTTTATAACAGCAACAGTTCACAATAGCCAAGCTATAGAACCAGCTTAGGTGCCCATCAACAGATAAATTGGTAAAGAAAATATGATATACACACACAATGGAGTTTTATTTAGTCATAAAGAAGAATGAGATTATGGCATTTGCTGGTAAATGGATAGAACTTGAGAATATAATGCTAAGTGAAATAAGCCAGACCCAGAAAGTCAAAGGTTGAGTGTTTTCTCTCATAAGCAGAAGCTAGAACAAAATAAGGGGGAGGAGGAAGTGGTGGGGGATTCCATGAAAATAGAACAGAGGTCTGTGCAGTAGAGAGAGAGGATTGAAGGGGAGGAAAGAAGGTCAGGAAAGGGAAGGACAGCAGAATGAATCTGACCAAAGTTTCCTGTGTACATATATGAATATACCACAGTGAATTTCACCTTTAAGTATATCCATAATATACTAAATGAAAAAAAACCCCACAAATTAAATAGAAGAAAAATCAGAGTAGGGAAAGGGAACAGGGCAAGGAGGTAAGGAGAGAAAGGAGAGGTAATAGGGACTGAAGTGGAACACATTATGGTCCATGCTGGTATAATTATAAAAATGAACCCCAATATTATGTATAACTATAACAAACTAATTAAAAAATTATTTCATTAAAAAATTAGCCCCTCCAAAAAGGTAGCAGTCATCTTTGGGAGAAGGAGGCAACTGTGAGAGGGAGGGGAGGCTTTGCTGTAGTATCTTCCAGTTAATTTAAGATTTAACTGCAAGAGAACACACTGTGTTTGGAAGCACCGCATGGCTGCATGACCAGAGGCAGGCAGAGAGGCCTTGGTAGATGGCCCAGAAAACAGGAGGTGGAGTTTGGATGAAAGATGCCCAAGGAACAGCTTTTGTAGATTCACATACCCGCAGGTGACAATGTACATTAAGTATAGGACATGAATTCTCTATGTGAGTAAAAAGTAATAGAGAGCTGAGGGCTCAACGACATTACAGAACACAATTATGATTCCCATGATGTGCAGGGCCAGGAATTTATGGGATGAAATGGACTCACCTATACCTCTCTACTGCCATATTCAGCCACACGAGGATGAGAGAATCCATCACTGAAAGTACCAGGCCTTTAAAGGGCACTTCAAAAACACTTCTTTTTTTAAAACAAGTTAATGTCTGAACTCTCTCCTTCTCCTTTTCCTTACTGTTATTTATCTGCCTTATAGGTTGGAAAAATGCTATTTCCTTTCCTGGTGTTTGGTTCTACTTGTTATATCTGTCCAACATTAACACAGCCTTGAAACCCACCAGGGCAGCTGCTGGGACTCCCTTGTGAATCTTGTTTACACTGAATTTCTATATAACAAAGTGCTCCCACATCTCCCAGCATTCTGATCAGTCGAGTGGGGATCCTGAGAAAATGAGATAAAAGGTAGCTGACTTCTAGGACCTTGTTTATTTCTGTCACAATGCAACTCCTCTGATAAATAAAGATGTTACACATACAGACCAAAGTACCAGATGATAGATCTCAATTAGACCCACTAAAATTCTAGACTTCTAAATTCATTTAAAGAGAAATGAACATCACTTTCCAATCTCACTTGAAGAGGCTAATCAAATATTACCCAGTAAAGGTCAAAAGGAAAATGTCTTTAAGGAACAGACTTCTAATGTTTTAAACTTTTAACTTTTCATTAGTTTGGGTATAATAAGTTCCGAGAACTTTAAAATAGCTGATGCTCTCTTTTATTTATTTATTTATTTTTTGGTACTGGGGATTGAACTCAGGGTCACTGGACCACTGAGCCACATCCCCAGCCCTATTCTGTATTTTATTTAGAGTCAGGGTCTCACTGAGTTGTTAAACGTCTCATGGTTGCCGAGGCTGGCTTTGAACTTGAAATCCTCCTGACTCAGCCTCCCAAGATGCTGGGATTTCAGGCAGGCGCCACCACACTGGCTCTTGATTCTCTTAATTGGATTATAGCTTGCCTCTAATAACTATATTTCTTATTTTTTGTAAAAAGAATCCCAAAATCCTGTATTTCGAGGTGGTATATAGCACTACCTTGCCTAAACTCAGGCAGTATGACTTTTTATATTGATGTTGTTTCACTGCATTTAACCAACAAGACCTATTTCTTTTCCCAGAGCAAATAACATATGCATAATTCAAAATGAAACTAACCTAAAGTGTGGTTGGATTTAACAATGCTCTTCATACAAATTGCCCAGTTTTAACCTAATGTCATTATTAATTAATTATTATTAATGTTATTATTAATGTTATCATGTTCTTGTTGGCCTGGAAAAGGGCATTTCCAGTCAGCTTAGAGAATTACTCCATCCATAACTAAAACACCAACAGGAAGTGCACCTGAGGCCACACCTCTCCCAGGGGTACCTGTTTCATCCGGGGAGCTGGGGGAAGCACTGTCTTGGGACAATGTCGTCCAGCTCGACTCCTCATCGCTTGGCGCCAGGTTCTGGATCCGGTGGAGTGCACAGTCGGTTTTGGCCCCTGTCTTAGGATGATCCTTTTTGGTCTCTGGGCTGGAGGACACTGTGGCTACTTGCCCGTCTTCCGGGCTGGACTGGGGTTTGTTTGGTTTCTGCAGCAGCAAGTCACCATTCCCGATGATGGCAGCAGGGACCTGGCCCTGACCTGGCTGGGCTTTCTCTTCCCCGACCCCATGGCAGTTGCCAAGGTTCTGCTCCAGTTCTCGGGCTGAGGTTTCCAGGTCTGCATAGTAATTTAGGAAGCTCTTAGTTCTCCTGGGCTGGGAGGGTAAAATCTCACAGCTGGAGGAATCCTGTGGGTGGGGCTCTTTACCTTCTAACTTCTCAGAAGTTATGTTGATGACTGCAGCGGGGCTGATGTTTTTGTTGGGGTCCTGCTGTCCTTGCTCGGCAGCCTTTCGGAGCTGGTTCTCCCCATTTTTCACCAGCTTGATGTTGGCTGAGCCGTTTCCCAGGAGGGGCTGTGCAGCCGGATCCGAGAGGCCCATTGCCGCCTGGATGTTAGTCAGTGCATATTTTTTCCTGCATTTGGGAGGTGTGCTGTTCTTGGTGTCTGAGTGTTTTATTTCAGCATTCAGCAGTTCATTGTGTGAAGAACGGAGATTAAGGGTGTTTGGTGGTGTGGCTGGGCTGTTCCGATTTGCGACGTCTGTGGTTCCGCTGCTGGCCATAAACACTGCCAAGGTGTCCGCACCTGAGTCACCTGGGGAAAAGGAAAATTGGTCATTAGATGCTGGTGCTGATGGCACGAATTACTATGCAGCATGAGCCGACATTTTTATAAGGAAAATTGAAAGAATCAATGCTTCTGCTGCATAATACACTCTTGCAGAACTGACCCATTTCCCCTCCTTATTTCACAATCAGTTCCTATGTTAAACAGGAGCAAATAAAAGGCTTAGTGTGGATACTCAAAAGTCAATTTTTAGAAAAGCTAAGACATCTGAGGATCTAAGTTTTACTTGGAATTAAAAAAAGCATTTTGAATTCATATAAAAGCATTTCCTTCTGGTGGTTGGTCTTCAGTTTTCATAACCTGAAAATCATCCCCTTTCCAAACATTTATATCACATTTGTATTCTATAGTTCCTTCCAGCCACAAAAACAAAAACTTTGCTCAAAATTCCTCTGGGGCTCCAGTTTTCTCAATTAACCTGAGAGGTCATTGTTCAGTGATGTTCCATACATCCATGTTTAGAAAATGTGTTCCGAATGTCTGGAAAACCAAATCTCCATTAGAGTTTGCTCAGGTCTTCACGAACATTTTTGACCTGGGCTTACTGTTTATGCCCAACAGAAATTTTGAAGAAATGGCTTAATTTCTCAAGAACATAAACACAAGCAGTATTACTACTAAAAATGCAGCCTTGAGCCCTGGACCACAGACAACATGTCACAGAGTCCCCAAAGGCATCTGAATATATTCCACTGAATTAAAATACAGACTCAGCTGTCTGCAGTCACCACATGCCCTTGCAGAACTCCTGGCAAGCTCTCTGACAGTTGCATTTATCTCAGATATTGTTCGCACCATCAATGATTTATTCCGTATGTCTCTTGTTAGGAAGAAAGAAAGGTTTTTCAGACTAGAAGAGAATAAAATTCATCAGGAAGAATTCCAAAGGTTTCAAGTTTCTCAGTTTCTGAGCAATGGCTTACTTCTTATCTGATCCTCTGCCCTCCCCATCAACTTTGGTGATCTCCACACCAGGGGCAGAAGAACCAAAGCACAGCTCCTGACATTCTTGAAATTGTATTCTGACAACTCCCTCTTCCTCCCCCAAGCAAAACAGGGATCTTCACAGAAGAGGAGGGCAAGAATTTCTCCCTGTTTGGGAGCTTAGAGTTATCTTTTTATTGTCAAATACTCAAGTTGGGCAATTTTAGAAGAGTCACTCATTCTCGAATCTTCCAGGAAGCTAGGCAATGTCCATGTGCTCTAGGCAATACCCATATTTGTAACAGAATGACCATGTGGCCCATAAGATAGCTAAAGGCTATCACCCAAAGAGGCTAGATTTGAGGCCACATTCTTTAAAATTATAATAAATCCTGCTTACCCAGGAATTACTTCAGCTTCTCGGTCTTGTTTATAGGAATAGAGAATGCAGTGTGTTTCTTCCCTTTAAATAATGCTCGGGAAATTGAATTTTTTTAAAAAAAATTAAGACTGATCACTACTACCATGTTATGAAAAACATGTTCCAATTTATAATTCAATATCATTCAAGAGTAGTATTTGATATGAGCAAACCCCAGAATGAACACACATGAACTTTTCCCCGAGACATATCCACAGCATAGATACAAGGTCCACTCCCTTGAGAATTTAAAGTGACATGAGAAAGTGGAAACCTGCTAGCTTCCTAAAAGGCATAGCAACCAACTTCTATGAAGCTGTTTTCTGATTTTAGGTACTGTATTCTAGCATGTTATTAGGGAGAAAATTTCATTTGTTTATAACTATAAACATTTTCAGAAAGAATGCCATCAGAATTTCTAGGTGATTTTAATATGTAAGAAGCTTTTATATCCTCTAAGTGACATATCACAACTTTTAGCCATGTTCTCATAAGGCTTTTGGATCCCACGGCCCTCTCAGTGACCAGGTCACTCTCTCCCTTGCTTAAAAATCATGGTGGGTTTGGGAGGGGAAGGCTGGGTTAGAACAGAACCATCCTGCACAGAGTAGATGTGCAAACTCAACTCTGTATTTCCTGTAGATGGTTGATGTGAGGATTGACAGTGAAAAGGCCTGCAGAGAGCTTTGGCACGATATGGAACAATAAATCTGGGCACCCCTCACTTCTTTGTACCCAAGAGACACAGCACAGGGTTTCACTATGAAAAAATAAAAATTCCTCAAGGGTTCAGAGGGAGAAGATTTACATTTCTATTTAAGTGAAATAAAAATCTTATAAAGTTGCTTAAAACCTAATATTTAGCTTTTTATCTTTGGAAATCATGGGACCTAAGAAATAAAAACCAGATACTTTCAACATACACAAAAAGCAGGTTTTTTAGACTCTCCATTTCTTTGCTGTAAAAATGGAGATAATAATAGTAGCTACCCCTTCCAGAGCTTTGCTGAGGACTAAGAGATGACTTGTCAAGCATTTAACCTAATGGCTGCATATCATAAGAGCTCAAAACACTCTAGAGATTATTATCACTTTACAGTTCCCACCTTTCCTGCATGCTTTTGTTTCTGTGGAAGAATAGACACACAATATTCACAGAAATCAGCTAAGAGGGTGGCTGACAGGTGAGAGGAGAAAATGGTCTTCTCTTCTTGGGGTGTAGAAGATCTGAAGGGAAAAGGACAGATTATCACCTGAGGATCCTGTGCCAACAAGACATGAAAGGAGAGGTGGCACATAGAAGGGAAAGAGCTGGCCAGGGGTTCTGTGAGGTGTGCTCTAGGACTTGGACCTGACCCTAAGGTAGTAGTGTGTAGAATGAATTGGAGGCTATGGTGTATATTATATGTGAGCGTGTGTAAGGCATATTTGTTTTTATGTTGGCATCTTCCACCACCACATTCTCAAAGAAGGAGATGACTATGGCAGAAAGTCATTAAAGAATCAATGTAAAGTAAGAGATCAAAACAGCAATGGTCATCAGAGAACAGTGGAATGAGGCAGAAAGAGGCATCACACTCACTGTGATGGTTAATATGAACTATCAATTTGATTGGACAGAGAGATATCTAGGATCAAGAGGCTTCTTCTGGGAAGACTTCTAGATCTGATAAACAAATTCAACAAAGCAGCAGGATATAAGACGAACATACAAAAAATAATAGTTTTCTTTTACTCCAATAATGAGTCCACCAAGAAAGAAATCAAAAAAACTACTGAAAAAAATGAAACAAAAATTCATTCACCGTAGCCTTAGAAAGTAGCAATAACAACAACTTAGGACTAAATATAACTAAGGAGGTAAAAGACCTCTACAATGAAAATTATAAAACACTGAAGAAGACCTTAGAAAATGGAAGACCTACCATGTTCAGGGAGAGGCAGAATTAATACAATCACAATGGTCATATCACTAAAAAAAAAAAAAAAAAATGCAATTCCCTGAGTCAAGGGTTCAATATTTTCTCTCCTGAGGAAGCTAGAGAGAAGGAAAAAAATTAAAAAGGGGATCTCCCATAAATAAAAGAGAGATCAGTAGAGGCAGGCAACCAAGAGGGAAGGAGGATGGGAGAGAAAAGGGAAGAACTGGGGAATAAAGTTGACCAAATCATGCTATGTACATGTATGAATATTTCACAAGGCATTCCAATTTCATATATAATTATAATGTACCGATTAAAAATAAATTAACATGAGCTGGGGTTGTAGCTCAGTGGTAGAGCGCTTGCCTAGTATGTGTGAGGCCCTGGGTTCAATTCTCAGCACCGCATACAAATAAATAAAATAAAGGTCCATCAATAACTAAAAATATACAAAAGTAAATAAATAAACAGAAGAAAAATCAACAGAGTAAAGGGAATGGGGCAGAGGGGGGTTAGGAAGGTTAAGGGGAAGTATTAAAGACTGAAATACAGCAAATTATGTTATATGCACTTAGGAATGTGTTAAAAATGAACCCCACTATTATGTATAACTACAATGCACTAATAAAAACATTTTTTAAAATAACATTTCTTGGGGCTGGGATTGTGGCTCAGCGGTAGAGCGCTTGTCTAGCATGTGCGAGGCCCTGGGTTCGATCCTCAACACCACATAAAAATAAGTAAACAAAATAAAGGTATTATGTATAACCAAAAAATAATTATTAAAAAAAAAATAAAATAACATTTCTTGGTGTATCGATAGGGTGTTTCTAGGCTGTCATGTGGGACAGCAAACTGAGTCGGGGAGATATCCACCATAAATGTGGGTGGCACAGTCCAATAAAATGGGGTCCAGGTGGAGCCAAATCCAGAAGGAGGACTCCATGGAAGATGACAGCTGAATTTCTCTTTAGTGGAGTGTCTATTGCTGTTGCCATCCCCCAAGGACATGAGACTCCAGCTCCTTTATTTTTCCAAAGCAGCTTTTGACCAGTAACTCCCCAGGGAGGGCTACATGACCGGTGCCCCTTGTTCTAAGACTCCAGCTTGTTGGACTGAGCAGCTACTGGTTCATTTGGTTCTCCAGCTTACAGATGGCCCTTGTGGGACTCCTCAGCTTTTGAATGTGCAAGCCAATCTAATAAATCCCCTTTTATAATCATTCACACATATATATGTATGTATGAATATATATGTATGAAAAATGTTAATCCTACTGACTCTGGCTCCATCTCCACATTCCTACTTTCTGGCATTAGAATGGACTCTGCTCTTTAACAAAGGGGAGCAAGACCTAGACATTAAGGTCAGTTGGGAGGTTACTGCGATAGTCCAGCTAAGACAGTGAGGAGAGGACAGTAGCTTTTTTTCCAAAAGAGTTCCAGCTCTGGTCAATCATCTCCTGACCAGTGTTGGGGTCCAATCTCCTGAGGTCATGGAAAGTGCACCTTGAAGAATCCGCACTTGGGAGTTCCTGTTTATGAGCTGAAGTCAAGGAGACTGGAATGCGGCATATGGCAGGACAGCAATAACTCCTCACACTAGGCTAATTCTTGTGGGGCACGATGACCCTGTTTAAGGAGAAAAATAAGGCCCCAACTGTACTATCTGCTACATGCTTTAGATGTATGTTCCCTGACATGTCATGAGAGCATATCCTGTTTTGTCACCGGGGAGAATGTTTTCTTAGTACTAGCAAACAAGTTGGTTGTTTTCAATATGTTCTGCCATAGTTAAGACTGAACCTCCCACTGCCCTATAAAAGGTGGGCTGTGCAAGA